AATTCACTCTGAAATCTTTCTGACTTTGGGGTAATTCATATAATTTTTGCCTTTTGTGACCAAAAACTTACTTGAATCAGCCTAATGTCGAATCGTGTCGATATAGGCGTACATCGATCTCCATCACTTTGCCTTTGGGTTAGGCCTAGTTCATGAAATTTTTGCATACAAAGAACAGGAATTTTTTTATGAATGCAAGTTCGGATGAATCAATCTAGGTCTAATGTCCAAACATGACCGACTTTGAGTGCTAAGTTTAGGCAAGTTAGGCCCTACTGTAAAAGTGACTTACCATTTACTGCATCTCGATATCCTGACCTCTTAATGTCCAAATTCAGAATATTTTCCCTATCAAATCGATGATGATGCACAATGCGATCCATCAATGACTAGTAACTAGCTAACATTTGTTAAATCCATATATTTCTCACGAAAATCTCGCAATTTTAATAACATTGCAATTTGAGTCCTATCAGGCATCTCTTCATTACGTCAAAACAGAAATGACGCATCTCATGAATATTTATGAGATTACGTCAAAAAATGATCATGTGACCACATTCATAAACAACGCAAGATGGGAGTTTGACTTCCTAAACAAGTACGTTATTTTACGAAATCTTTTAATTCTCATTTAAAAAACTGTGTTTAAAAACCAGTTTTTTAAACCCAATTTCTCACAAGGAACACGAATTTGGGGTCAAATTTGCAATTTGTGGCTTCTTTTTCGATTTTGTCGATCGCTCACGCGATCGTCTATATATTGTACACCGCCTTCGGCGGCACCTATTTTAGCGCCATATTTATGGGGACCGGTATACTAGAAGTGTCCCGAATGTTTCAATCTTTAATAACTAAATGTAACGTAATTTGGTTGGATCCTTACTCATAACAAAGTTTGACAAAATTTTCATTAAAAAAGACATAACTGAACTCTTACAAATAGACAGTAACATCTTGATAAATATCTCACAGATTCAGCGATTGCCTTTATTTTTTTTGTAACTCACCACTAAGATCTGCAGTTATGAAGTAAATTGATCCTCTGGATATTCCTTCTTCGTATTCTGTTATTTTCTTCAAAGGTTGACAAAGAATGACTAGATCTACGCTAATAATCCTCCCACTCTACCGATTCACTTTCCAACGTCTCGCGCGTTTCAAAGTTTGCGCCTTTTAAAAAGTGTCATGCAGAGCTAATTAAGAAATAGTTTCGAATTGCCAAGATTTTTGTTAAACAAAAAATAACAAACACTATCTGAATGATTTTTCACTGAAATCAATTTTTTTTTAAATCAATATAAGTTATATCATTTATTGAACTGGATTTTTTTTACATTATACCTGTAGAGCCATAGTTTCGTATTCAAGTATGGCCGCCTCCATATCAGAGGACAACAAATATCTCTTGGAACCACTCGTCCTCAAACTGAGTACCCTGAGCTATTAAAGTGTATAGGTGAATAGACTACAAAATACTAATGTGGTTCATGTCATAGCTTCTTCACAACCATGCAGCCTGTGCTGTATCATTTACACACGATGGACAGAAAAATGTGACTTTATAACTGCATCAAAATATAAAGCTTTTCGACCCAAGAATGGTACGGTAGAGTACGGACAAGAGATATAATTTTTTAGTTGTCAATAAATTTATGATACATTTTTACGAAGATTATGAAATTTTTCCTAGACTGCAAGTCTGTTTCATTTTCTTACAACTTGTTAAAAGTTTGACAAATAGAGAAAATTCGGTCGAACAAAGTGGTGTCTTGAAAAATGAGATAATTTAAAGCACAATATTAATATAGCTGGCCTGTGAATTTAAATGATGAAGAAACATTAGTAATTCAATATGAGAAAAAAATGCTGTCAATATTGATGCAGTGTTTTATAAATTAATCATAATTTAATTACAATCTCCCTTCTATAAGACAGTTCATAACAGAGTTTTATTATCCCGAAGAACCTAAGTTATCAATTACATAGAGTAGAAAATAGTGATTTTAACCTCTTATGATCCCATACTTTCAAAATCAAAACAAAAGCATGTTATTAATTAAATCAGGGGCTTGTTCAACAATTGCATATATGCATTTAAAAGTTGTATTATGGGAGTAATGAGTGTTTTCTGGCAATCGTTTGTGACAATAATTTTTACATTTTTAGTCTTCATGAAAATTCATGAACATTCATTTCCTTGAACTATCAAGTTTTTTCTTTAAACTGAAAATTACCAATATTCATATTTGTTCATCATTTGTTCATGAACTATGAATTATGAATGTTTTCATGAATTTTATTCATGAACTACATATATGTACTTTTATGAACCTGTTAAGAATCCTTTAAGAACCATTCATGAACAATTATGAACAACTCATGAAGGTTCTTAAAATCATGAATATCATTTCGCAGGGGTTGTAATGAAAACTGCATTATTCCTGTAACATTATACCCTCCGTAGCCTTTAAAAATGAAATAAACTATTAAATCCACTACCTTGACCTACATGTATTATTGTTTTTTCAATTTTTGCATTCGTTAAACAGTTAAACTAATATACAGTTATTGACTGGGTATGAGGGCAACATATGATTTGTTGGACCTGAAGGTGAGAATGTTGCCAGAGGCCGCAGGCCAAGGAAGAACAGCTAATAAAGAACAAAATTAATTATATCTTTATTATATCACATAAATTATTTATCACAAAACATACACTTACCTTCTTCCTTGCCTTGGTGGTAGCAACAACTCTTTCAGCTCTTAACTTCGGCTATTTCCGTGTCACCGATATTGAACGATGATTAATTACTTGTGACGTTGCAGTCTAACAATTCTTATGTTGGACCGGCAGGCAAGTCAACAGTGAAATTATTAGACCGTAATAAACATTTCTTTTGTTGGACTTTTTATTAGTAATAAATATATAGAAAGCTATTTATAAGGGTATAACAATATAAAATGGACCCATTTTCTGAATTATTTTAACAAATTCAATAAATCTGAAGCTAAAAGAATAAGAACAAATTTGAATGAAAGTTTGGGAAATAGGTTGCATGCAAAATTATCATCATAGAGTTGTTTCTTATCTTATTAATTAAAATTCATGTTAATTTTACACCCGTGATGATTAATATAATTTTGACTAAGATTTTGACCGAACTCGATACTCATGCAGACCTTGCCGATACTCATGCAGACCTTGCCGATACTCATGCAGACCTTGCCGATACTCATGCAGACCTTGCCGATACTCATGCAGACCTTGCCGATACTCATGCAGACCTTGCTCTTAATACGATCAATTCTAAAACAAAGGCAGGTATTAACACATAAAGTGATGTTTGAATGGTTTAACCAAATATACCGTATAAGTAGAATTTTTAGCGAGGATTTAATTTTGGCATTATTAGCGAGGGTGCTGACATCGCTAAAATTCAATATCGCTAAAAATTAATTGCGTATTAATTGTAATAGCTTCTTTAGTTAGCATTTTAAAATCGCTAAAATTACTTCTCGCTAAAAATAAAATACCATATTTTAGGTAGAAATCGCTAAATTTGCGTCTCGCTAAAATTTCCACTTATACGGTAGATTAAAATTTTGTAATTTTTTGTCGTATTATTGACCTTGTTTGTAAATTTATCTCTGTAGTGTATTATGGACAGATGATCTAAACAGAAATGGATGCCTGGATAGATATGTATTACATTTATTACAGTAAAAAAAAAATATAATTTTATTATTGAATAAATATGATATTCTGACACAGTGTAAAAGAATATCAAAATGATATATTTTTTACAGTGTGACAAATAACAGAAGTGCGGAAAAACTCTCAATTTTCCTCCCCGTAATGAGGATCGTCGTAAAATACTCTTTGGCATGTTATAAGATAGAGTAAATAAATCATGTTGACAAAGACTAAAACTGCTAGAGTTTCTCTGAATATGTTGCTGAAATCAATGTTTACAATGTTTTTTTTATATCGCACCACTTTATTATGACGTCTCAACCGTTCTGCTCTGATGGTCAATTGACTGTTTTTCACTGTGTTGACCATTATTTGAATGCTTCAACGTTGACAATTTCATGCGAGGAAAGAGTTAACCGTTGTTGAACACTCGATTTGTGAAATCTCATATTTTACTAGAGTTGACAAATCATTGTTAAAAATCCCTTTGACTCTACTTATGTTTGGTTTGTAGACCTGGTTCGCAATTCCATAATTTTAAAAACAATCTCTATTTGAACCAAGTAACGGAAACTACAAAGAAAATAGAAGAGTATTCAACTAATTGTCAACTGCAAAGAATATATTAGAGCGCTCAACAGTGGTCAGTCAGCTTTAAAACGTAACGTCAAACGTCATCAACATCGTGCGTACACTGTAACGTCTACATGCAAATAGGTTGAACGCTCCCTAATTTGCATGATTCACCTAATGTTCAATTGATAGTCGACGAACCGTCGACTGCATACATCGTTTGAATTCTAATTATAGTATTTTTCGTATTGGCAGTATGCATGATACTTTTAACAAAAAGACAGGAACAAAAAATATATATAATTAAAGAAAATGTATGAAACGGAAAAATCAATGTTTTGTAGTTGAATAAGGAGTTTAATTCACGAGTATTTGTTGCATGTTGTTTAGCGTCCCTCTCGATAATTATTCCTCATATGGAGGCGTCACCACTGCAAAATTTGTCCTAAATTCGGCACATACGACTATTGAGCAGTGGTAGTTCTTTTTCGTGTCAGCACCTACTGTGACACGGGACCTCGGTTTATATTACGGTTTCATCGGAGGAACCGGTCTCCACGTCCCACAGTGGTATTCGAACCCGCAATATTTCTCGAGTGAGACAGGATTTTTTGATACTTTCACTCTTGCTTCAAATTCGTGAAAATATCAAAAAAAACCAAACCCTACCCACTCGTGAAATAACACTAAACACCAACGGCTTGTCGTACAACATTGATTTTTTTAAATGCGTCTCTAACATATGTTATGTCCAGACTATAACAAAAACTCAAACCCTTAACTTGAAAGAAGTCGAAGTAGGAGGAATGTAAGTAAATCCAATTCTAAAAAATTTTAAATCCATTTTCTGCGCATTAATAAGATTTTCTTATTAAAAATTATTATTTAAAATTGTGTTTTAAATCCTTCTATAAAATTGTTTGGGGAAACAACTTTCGTTTTCGATTCATGTACCAAAACTACTCGCCGGCTTAATAATCAATTTCAATTTTCTTTATTTCAAAAGACATACGTCTTATAGCATTATAAACAAGCATTCCTTCGCGACAATTCAATGTACTAGGCCTAGTCTTTTACACACCAGGGGGGCTCGTTTCTCAAAAAGGCCTATGACCAGGCGTAAGCTTAGTCCGGACTAAATCAGTGACTAAACGCGGAAGTCGGACTAAGTTGCGTTTCACAAAAAGGCGGAGACTTAGTCTAGACTAAATTTTGGTTTAAATCTAGGCCTGCTCATGAGTAGGCGTAAGTTCTTAGTCTGTACACAACTTTGGAAAAGAGCAAATGTTTTAATCATAAAGAGTTAAAAAAAATTATTTTATACTTAGGCGATATAATACCTATTCATATAAGGGGTGTTAAGAAAGTTCGTTCCAGGACGAAATATGTTCAAAAATTTAAAGTAGTGCTTAACTAAAAACTTAAGATGAATTTTCAAGTCTTACAAAATCACAAAAGTGTGCTTTAGATTTATAGCAATTAATTTCTAGCAGGAAATAATAGGATTTTTTCCATATGAAAATACATATATTTTCAAAACACCTGAATGATAGAAATACTGGTCTATTTGAGTGAAAATAAAGGATATTTTACTTTTGTTTCTTCATAGCTTATTTTAAATCAGACAAGCTGATAAGCTTAGGTATAGGAAGGATAGATCACTTTTTAAAGAATAGGTTTGTCATTTTGAAATTTTTCACAGATTTGATAATTTTTTGCTTAGTTTTTGAAAGCATGTTTTGACCTATGTGCTTAATATATGTAACAAATATGCATCATCCCTAATTTTTCTGAACAGACATCATCTGTTTCAGTACCTGCCCTCCCCCTACTGTTTCAACAAAAAGACAGTTAAAACCTTATCAGTAGCAAAAATGGACTCTGTAAATATGAAATATCACAAACTCTAAAAATCTTCTCATCGTATTTTTTTTTGAAAATAAAAGAAAAATGTGGAACGAACTTTCTTAACACCCTTTACATGCATACATGCACATTATTATATGATATGCGAAAAATCACGAAAATTAATAAACATATAATATTACGTAGAAAAGTAGAGATGCAGACTTTTTTCCGCAAAAGGTGTATTGAACTAGGAAGTTATAATTAAGAATTTTAAATTCTAGTTGGGTAGAAATTTGAAAGTGCCAGGTTTATTTTTTAATGTAGGCACGCGTTGTGGGAGAGGGGGGCTGCAACCCTGCCTTTTTTATTGAAATAATGCGTTTTCTGTTTAAAAAGGTGTATAATTTATGGGCTGACGCCCACTTTCAGCATTTCACTTCTCTGCTGAATATTTTGGTCACTCAATTACTTAACCCCCCCCCCCCCCCTCCTCTATCCATTCACTTTTTTAAAACGATGCCAGGTCCCGGATAATTTTTTTTGTTTTGAAATGGATAATGTTTCAATAAATCCTCAAACAATATTCATTTTTAAGAATATGTTTTAGATAATGAGATATATACTGTAACTATACCATCAACCAAGTCAATCCTTCTTTAATTTTCCCCTTTAATTGCATGTATTTAAATATAATATTGATAAAACATAAAAATTTGAATTTGTAAAATGTTCGAGTATTATACTTAAAGTACCGGTATTCTGTTCATAAGACTGTTCACTCGCTGTCGAGAGGTGAGAAGTGTAGATGGGTTAATCGTTTTTTCTTAATGGCTTGCAAAAGCTTCATAGTTTTAAATCGAATTCTTATGAACCATATTACAGGCAATAAATATAGTAATTTTTATACATTTTTAAAATATTTCCATTAAAATTGAGAATGCGTGTGTTATATTGCAAATGGTGTATACTATAGTATACATATGTATTTCTACATGGCCTACGTAAATTATCATTACGATATCAGTGTAAAACTGTACATAAAAGTCCAAAATGTAATACATGTATCATACATGCAGGTACATGTATCACCTTGATTGCCAATATACATGTATGTCTAATTCATATTGAATAAATTGATTGAAATTATAAAGAATTATATATGGTATATGGGCCATTTTAGGCCTCTATTCAGAAAATATTTTACATGTGTAAATTTCTTTCTTGTTCAAGGCTTGCATGTATATAAAATCGTCGCTCATATACTGTGTCAAAAATGTCATTTTTTGAAGCTTCGTTTAAAACTAAATAAAGGGTGTTCCATATTATATGTTACATTTTGAATCTTCAATTTGACAAACACAAGAAAAAGATACTGAAAATTCTTTTTATCAAACTGATGCATGTATCCATAAAATTCATAATGTACAATTACCAATTAAAATATTGAAAACTGATCAAAATCTTAAACTTTAAAGTAAATAGTCAAAACCAAGTTGCATCATTTTTGCTACGTTGAATTTCACAACGGCAAAGCTCACATTACATGTTCCAAATGATCTCCATTAATTCAAAAACAAATGAAAGTTGTTTCAGATTGAAATTTATATAAAACCTTGTCACGTATTTTTGCTTAGACACTCATTTGAAGGCGCCTGCTCTTTTTGAGTGGTCTAGGATTATAGACCCTATTCTTTAAGTAACCTACAGAAAAGAGCCCACAGATTGAGATTGTCAAATGCACATTGAGGTCAAAACCATTCCTTGCATTATTGAAAATTTGTACTTTGATAACTTCAAATAAATCATACTTCAAAGTTTATTTTATGCTGAAAATAGTGATATTGCCAGAATAAATTTCTGAAAATATCTATCAGACACTTTTCTCAGAAGTTTGCTACACTAAGAGTCTCCACTTCACCAATTAAATCTCTGCTTCTTTAAGTCTTCAGGCTTTCTGGAATACTGGTGTCATTCATTACATATTGTCCATCCCAGTCCTTTAACCTTGTTTCTAGCCTTCTGATAAGCATCCTAGAAAGCTTCCATTCTGTAAGAAAATTTATTTCGTCAAATAATGAAAAAAATTTCCTTCAGATACTGCTTGCCCCCCCCCCCCCTTCCCCCGACTTTCAAAACTTTTGCTACGAGCCTGTTCCAGCCCCTAGCCATACATGGCTTTTACTCACAGGAAAATTAAATTACCTTTTACTTCAAATTTTCGCAAGTGCATGTAAATACATGTATAATCATGAATATGTACATCATTTGGTTTAAATGTAGATATCTAATATAACACTTGTGGATGTAGAGGAGGAGGGAGGCTGTGTCCAAAATTATAATAAAAGATTTACTCAGTCAGATTTGTTTAGTGTAGCTGTGGGCGCCTAACACGACCCCAATCTGCCTGGCCCTTTTTCAAGATTTCTGAATCCGCTACAATGTTAATGCTTTGAACTTGAAAATACGGATGGGTTTGCGTAATAGATCTGTTTGAAAGACGGTGAAAAGGAAACATGCAAGTGTGCCCGTGCTTCCTGTGCTTTACATCCTTTATTTAGGTTCAAGTGTGATATTAATTTGATCCGCCACATGTCATTGTAGTCTCTAAACCAAATAAAATGCGATCTGCGCATGCTTAGTACCTAGCGGAGAGGTCTTAGTCTTAGGCCCAATCTTACGCCGCTTTCTGAAACGCGATTTAGGCCCGACTAAATATTGGCGTAACTTTTTTAGTCGGACTAACTTAGGCCCAAATCTACGACTTTTTGAGAAACGAGCCCCAGAAGTTCAATAAAACCCCCTAACATTGTATGTTAACACTTTTATAAATATTTTATATTTTCCACGTTTGAAGCGACACAATCACACAAGGAAAAAGAAATATCAATTTAACTCAACCCCGTCTCAGTCGCCGCATGTTGACGTCTTATACCATGTTTACCCCCTTTTATCCCATGAATATGACTCATTGGATATTTTTGGTATCCCACAGTTTGGCGCAGCTGTGACGTCACAGGGAGATTTGAAATCTAAGGCAAGCAGTGTTCTCTAAAATTAAACTGCCATGCTTCTGAGTATGAAAAGTCAAAACAATGAGGTTTCTAAAACTCTATTCATATTAATACATGATAAATCTTTTGAGCTGTATGGCAAGCCCTTTTGCTATTTATTCGGAAAATAAAATTTATCTTAAAATTACATCTCAAAAAATTGAGATATCTCCCAACTTAAAGAGGTATCTCTCATTTTTAAGATATCTCTATGAGAAAGAGATACCTCTTAAACTTAGAGAGATATCTCTTATACTTAGAGAGATATCTCTCTAGGTGAAACAGATACCCCGGTATCTCTTTCTCCCTGAGAGATATCTTTTTGTAAAATGATTTATCTCTCAAGGACAAAGAGATATCTCTTTGACTTAGAAAGATATCTCTTTTACTTTTGTAGATATCTTTCCAAATTAAAGAGATATCTCTTAAAGTAAAAGAGATATCTCTCTTAGTTTATCTTAAGAGATATCTCTCAAAATGAAAGAACCATCTTTCAAAAGTGTCAAAAAGAGATATCTCTCAGGCAAAAAGAGATATCTCTTTATTGCAAAGAGATATCTCTCTTCATTATTGTTATTTTAATTCCATTTAAAATGACTTCTCCCTTTACCGGAAGCAAGCTTGTTATTGACGGAAGTACATTAAAGTATTTTTTAATTCGACATATTCATGATATTCTACATTATTGCTCAACTAAACATCACAAGTAGTTCAGTTTTGTCTAGATTTCAAATTAGAAATACATGAAGTTGATTATTTCATCAGCTGAGAAAATTCGGTTCATTGCATTTGAGATTATATATATTCCTGAATATTAAACTTTTAGCATTTTTATCAACGAAGTTGCCATTATTATTTTTTGTATCAGGAAGGGGATTTACAGAATTTTTGTCTACTCAGTACATATATTATTCTGGGTAATTGCTTGCTCAGTCTTTTTTCCTATAACATCGAAACTTAATTCCAAAGATTTTACTTCCTGTTTCGCTTTTGTTTTAAAGTAGAGAATTAATTATTCTATTTTGAGGAACACTAGAAAAAGAATATCTCTTTCATTAAAAGGGATATCTCTTTAGCTTTTAAAGATAGCTCTTTTGGAAAATCTAAAGAGATATCTCTCTAACTAAGAAAGATATCTCTTTTAACCTTTTTAAAGAGATATCTCTCTAAATTTTAGAGGTATCTCTCTCGCTTAAAGATATATCTCTTTAGCTTATAAAGACATCTCTCGAAGTAAAAGAGATATCTCTCTTACAAAAAGGGATATCTCTTTTATTTAAAGAGATATCTCTCTAAAGTATATAAATATCTTTTTTAGTCAAAGAGATATCTCTATAAGCTAAAGAGATATCTCTCTATGTTAGAGAGATATCTCTCTTATTGAAAGATTTTTTTTTTATTTCACGAATAAATAGTAAAAGGGCTTGCCATGGAATTGGCACACTCTCACAAGTTCTTTTTTTTATACAGAAAAAGTATAGATTTAGTCTATATAGCAATATGGCATATTTTAACACTTGATGCATGACAAGTTTTTAAAATTCTTTTAATATTTAAAAAAGGTACACAATAGGAGGGACCCATACTGACTACATTTTTTAGTTTTTACTTAATATCTGTTTAAAAATAAGTAGTAAGAAAAATCTTTAAATTTTATACTTACAGAGATTGGACAAGCTGAATTATTCATGAAGACAACAATGTTTCAATTCAAAATTCCCCACCTTCTCATACAACATACTCTGATTCAAAAATGTGTTGTAATTATGGTACTGAAATATATATTAATGTAATTTTAAACCCAACACAAATAAACTCAGAGAGATTTTCTTACATCGAGTGGTCAACTAGGACCAACTCTGCAAATTAAGATATCACATAATCGGAGTGTTCAACAATTAGTTCAGTCTTGTATTTTACATGACATTTTCATAGCATAGCATTCAACTAACAGTCAAAGAAGTCAAAACAGTTAAAGCTTTTCAGAAAAGTTCAACTCCAAGTGGTCAACAGTTTTGCGTAATCAATTGAGACTAGTTGACGGTTAACGACACATTTTTGTATGTGAGATGCTTTATTTATAAACAGTTTAGTTTTAAATACAGCATATTTTTACGACCATTTTTTAATGTTCAACATAATATTTTATGAACAGTTTTGTTTGATATACCGGGGTATATATATTACAGCATAAGGTTGTATGAACAGTGATTTTTACTGAGAGATTATTCGAATATGTCAATGGGAGGGAACATAGATGCCTGTCCTGTTACCAAGGAAACATGGGAGGCACGAGCAGCAATAAAACAGGCGGATTGTGGTGGACAGAGTGTTTATCATTGTCTGTCTGACAGTAAAGGTTGGAAGTGGGAACGATGTGTGGAGAAAACAAAGATCATTGCAGGTATAATATATATTAATTACCGTATTCGTCTCGGTTAATTTTAGTAACATACAATGTATATACTTAACATTATAGCAATTTTTGGTAAGGGGTAAGCAAAACGTTTAATTTGCAAAATGATCAGGTGATTCCTCTCCAGACTCAACCTTTTTAAGTTCATGGGTACAGAACCAAGGGTGTTAAGTTCTGTTTTAAATTACATTGTCTCTTAAAGTCCCTATTTGTATTTTGCCCCTTGATTATCAAGCGGTACACTTATTGTCTAAAAAGGCTTATCATTGTAAAAGTAATTGGGTAAGTTTGATCAATAAATTGGGATCAAAATTTGACTCTGGAACCTACAGTAAAAAAAAATGAATATTTTTTTCCTGAACCATTACACATGTTACACGGGGAAAAAAGATTGATGAAGTGAAAGTTTCAAATATAGTTTATATGCTATTTTTTAAACTATTGGTCCAAGGATATGTTTGTGACACAATAGTTTTCTAAATTTTTTTTACATGGGATGATATATGAAAATTATTTAAATTTTTATCAGGATCAGCTGGGCAAGTAATTTTTAAAAAGTGTGTATATTAAATTCTGACTTAGTGTTAATATAATTTTTTCAAACTTCAGAGATGAGGTTTGGCATTAATAAGCTTCCACGTATTAAGGCCTCGTCACAAAGAGTAATTCATAAATTGTTCAAATCATCATCCTTGAAGATACATGTATAGTGATGCCACAAAGGGCTATGAAAGTTAACATACGAATATATTTACATCAACTGAATATTATTTCCTTTGTTTTATGAAGACCATTACCGTTACGGTAATCAGTCCATAAACGACACAACAAAAGTCACATGCATAGGTTTCTTAAGCAATGGCTACTTCAGCAGTTATGCATAAAAGACAGATACGTCTATAATAAAATATTAAGCATTCTTAATCTTACTTTGAATGTTTTTTAAAACAGATGTAAATATAAATAATAAAATGTCTTTCTTTGTTAGTACTGGAATTAAAGTCGCATGCAGTAATTGAAGAAAAAAATTACATAACCCGCTTGTGCGGCAACTGCGACATTAATTTCCGTTCTAACAACCCAAAAAAGCAATATATTGCTGAAAAATCAGAAGCATCGCATTATGAAACATGTCAGGATCAGTAAAAGAAGTATGTAAGGTAATGTTCCTCGCTTTCACTGTAAGTAGGGGGTATTAAATTCCATCTGTCTTTTTCATCTTTACATTTCTGTCTGTCTGTAACACTTTCGTTTTCACCCGATATTACGGACTTTTGATCTTGAATACTGTTCGTTATCTCCAAATGTTTCATTCGAGAAGCATGTTTTTGAATATTTGTGAATTAAATCTTTGTCAACAAAAACAGAAGGGCAATAGATTTTAAAATGCTTGTCTCCTGATTTGTTTTCAGGGCAATGCCCGATTTTTACTGCTGATGGCTACATTGACTGGCAACCATGTAACACTACCATCCCAATGTGTCCAAACAGCACCTATGTATCTAACGAAGTGTATAAATGTAAGTATAACGCTGTCAGATGTTACAAATGCAAAGATTGAAAGAGGACAAACGCAAGGAGTTATAATATGCAAAGACTTTTTGACTGAAAATTAGTTTTTAAAACATGGTCAGAGCGGTGTCTTGATAACTTGTTCGGTGCTCTTAAATCCGTGGTTGACAGAATTACGCAACCATGAAATGTGTGACGTCACGTACGAAAAGTGGTAAATAAAAATAGAAACACGTGAATATTGATGACGATATAATATCGATGTCAATACATCTCCCATAGTACATACTGATGCATTTAAAGTACATCCATGAACACATTGCTTTTTAGGTCACCTGAGTAAACTCAGGTGACCTATTGCTATCTGTTTTCGTCCGTCGTCGTGCGTCGTTCGTCGTGTGTTAACAGCTTCTTCTCTGCAACCACTCAACCAATTTCCACCAAATTTTACACAAAGCATCCATTGGTGAAGGGGAACAAAAATTGTGAATTCCATGGTCCCTGCCCCCTGAGGCCTGAGGGATGGGGCCAAAACAATAAAATTAGTGCAATCTTTAAAAATCTTCTTCCTTACTCCTGGACATCAAGCGGTCAAACTGTTAGCATGAATGGAATGACCATTGAGTCCTCTACCAAAATTGTGAAATTCATGGCCCCAGGGTCAGGGGTTCTAGTGCTAGGGTGGGGCTCTATTGATTATATAGTGAAAATGCATTATTTCTTTAAAAATCTTCTCTACTCCTGGGTATTAGATAAACTAACTTAGGACATAGTTATGATGAGGAAGAACTCCTTTTGCAAAATTGTGAATTTTATGGCCCCAGGGTCAGGGGTTCTAGTGCTAGGGCGGGGCTCTATTGATTATATAGTGAAAATGCGTGATTTCTTTAAAAATCTTCTCTGCTCCTGGGTATTAAATAAACAAACTAAGGACATAGTTATGATGTCAGAGGAAGAATACCTTTTGCAAAATTGTGAATTTTATGGCCCCAGGGTCAGGGGTTCTGGTGTTAGGGCGGGACTCTATTGATTACATAGAGAAAATGCAGAATTTGTTTGAAAATCTTCTTCTCTGCTGCTGGGTATTCAACGAATTAATTAAGTATATAGTTATGATGAGCAAGAATGCTTCTTCCAAAATTGTGAATTTTATGGCCCCAGGGTCAGGGGTTCTGGTGTTAGGGCGGGGCTCTATTGGTTATATAGAGAAAATGTAGAAATTGTTGGAAAATATTCTTCTCTACTGCTAGGTATTAAATATACTAACGTAGTATATAGTTATGATGAGCATGAATGCCTCTTCCAAAATTGTGAATTTTTATGGCCCCAGGGTCAGGGGTTCTGGTCTTAGGGTGGGGCTCTATTGATTATATAGTGAAAATACATTATTTCTTTTAAAATCTTTTTTCTCTGTTCTTGGGTATTAAATAAACTAACTAAGTACATAGTCCTGATGAGGAAGAATGCTATTGTGAATTTTATGACCCCTGGGTCAGGGTTTCTGTTGTTAGGGCGGGGCTCTATTGGTTAGGTAGAGAAAATGCAGAAATTGTTCAAAAATCTTCTTCTCTGCTCCTGGGTATTAAGCATATGAACTACCTATATAGCTATGATGAGCAAGGGCCATTCTTCCTGAATTGTGAATTTCAACGCCCCTGAGTAAAGGTACCATGGGGGTGGGGGGGCTCTACTTATATAATGAAAATGAATTAATTGATTGAAATCTTCTCCTTTGTATTAATCAAATATTTTTGATAAGCAAGTGTGGACCAAGGGTCAGGGGTTCATGTGTGGTACTGGCACTATACTAATTATTGCTGAATATTACTGATTAGTCGAAATGCATTTTTTGTTCCCCTACTCTGTCTATGGGTATTAAGCAACCAAACTAAACATGCTAAGTGTATAGTTATGATTAGCAATAGTGCTGCTTTCAAAATTGTGAATGCCATGATGTCTAGTTTAAACAGTGTTAAAACATGAACGAAAGTCAATAGTTGTAAAGTTGTTGCATGATGCTCAGGTTACCTATAAGGCCCATGGGCCTCTTGTTGATATTCACGGACGATTTGAATTTCTTGCAATCATTGTATTGTTGACGGAAGTTCAGTTGGCTTTGGCATTGCATAGTCTAACAAAGGAAAATGCAAAACAAGTTAATGTGCAGTTTATTGTGATTTTTTCCGACGAAGGGCCCTTGCTTGTTAGAGAGGAATCGGAAGGTTTACAATCAAAAGTGTCGATAACTTAACGCATAACAATACAAACAGAAGGCAATCAATATTTAGTACAATCCCAAAAAAGCCTAAGCTAGTACAATTAGTCCGCTATTTTGGTTTGTGAGGCTGTCAACTTTATTTTGGTTTTCCTTTCAGTTAACGTGTGCATTGTATACCCATTTTTTCTCAGCAATATACCCCTAACCCAATATTAATGTAACCAGCGCTTGTCAATATTTTCTTGCAAACAAACATATTAACCCCATTTCCCGAGCTTTTCTTAGCCAACATAATGACTGCCTGGTTCATTTTGAATATTATCCCTATGTATGGCACGCCAAATTCACAAAAATGAGCTAAACCTAGTTTTACAATTGATAAACTAGGTTTATCGACTGTAAACTATAGTTTACAAATCGTAAACTATAGTTAACGATTCGTTAAGTATAGTTTTCATCTGTAAAACTATATTTAACGGTTGTTAACTATAGTTTACGAATGCTAATCTAAGTTTATCTGTCTGAAATAAGCGTTAACAATAGATTTTGTTGATAAACATAGATTCACGTTTGTAAACTATTGTTTACAATCGTAAACTATAGTTAAGAGTTGTTAATCATAGTTTCACAAATCGTGAAACTATATTTATCAGATCGTTAACTATACTTAACCGTTTGTAAACTATAGTTTACAAATTGTGAAACTGTATTTATCAGATTATATATGTTTTGCAATCGCAAATGATTGTTTTCGGTGTTAAGTATAGTTTACGCTTGTGAAACACAGATTATCGCGTTAACTATGGTTTACAGATGTAAGAATAGATTAACGTTGTTAACTATAGTTTACAGTCCGTAAACTATAGTTTACAACCGATAAACTTAGTTTATCGATTGTGAAACTATGATTAACTCATTTTTGTGAATTTGGCGTGCCATACCTATGAGGAAAATAAGTATAATAATTTATATATGATAAACTCCAATGCAATAAGACCGCGGAACATTAACTGGCAAAATTGGAAATATACAGCTTACGTCATTTCTATCTGTTACAATCAAAACATTCAGTGATAGACAATGAAATGGGCGGGTACAATTCGACGCGGACGTTTGGAAAACATCGGATTGAAATTGCAGATCGAAATTCGTTTTCAATCCACCTCAGCTAGAAGTGTGTAGAAGGCACATTATTACTGATTGACCCAGAAGACAAATAATTTCAATTTTGGTACAGTTTGAATTTTTTTGTCCAGTGTTTTAAATGAATAAATATTTAAGGGAGAAATATTTCATTTCTGTTTGGTAAATATATGTATATCTTTGTGTTGGTGGTGGTGGTGGGGGGGGGGGGGGTTGAACGATTTTTAAATAAAGTTGTCCAACAGTTTTCAGTGAGAATAAGTATAAAACTCGTGTACTCTTATAATCCTAGAAATAAAATATGTTGTCATGTTAAGCTATGACCTGACTCAACAATTTTTTATCCCCCCCCCCTTCTAGAATCAAATATCTCCTGAAAAATAATCTTTGTCTTGTATGATATTTCGCGTTCTTAAAATTATAAGCTAAAACTCATGTTAATGTGAACTTCAAACAATACGTATGTGGGAGTTGAAATATAGTTGATTTTTGGATCATACATTCACTCTTTGCTTTGAAAACAGCTCAGGTGGATTGAAAATGAATTTCGACCTGCTATTTCAATCCGATGTTTTCCAAACGTCCGCGTCGAATTGTACCCGCCCATTTCGTTGTCTATCACTGAATGTTTTAATTGTAACAGATAGAAATGACGTAAGCTGTATACTTCCAATTTTGCCAGTTAATGTTCCGCGGTATTAATGGACAGATGCGTGTGGGAAGCATACATGGGATATATACTGAGTATTTCCATGTTTTCGGGTTACCTTATAGTTTCAACTAACTCATTTATCAGTCAAAATCAAACCAGATTTCGATTTTGAAATAAAACATCTTTATTTATTAGTGACTGGAATTCGTGTATATAATATAAAAAAATTGTTTTTGTCCTGCATTTTTCCCTATTATTGTATAATTTGCTGGTACTTGTATCACACCACTGCGTTAAAATACTAAAAATATTTTTAGATCCAGCTTGTTTTGGTAACAATACTCCAAAAGATGCAGATCTAGGGTAAGCAACAAACTACTTTTCCTGATACCGTAGTAATTTGTTTCATGGTATTTTTGAACTGAAAAAAATGAATACATTGTTTGGATATTTAAACAAAATTCTCAGAATCACAAATATTTTTTACAGAACCAACACAGGACTGATCGCCGGACTTGTTACTGCTTTTGTTGTTGTTGCAATTGCTGTATTGATCATTGTTATTATGTATCGGCGGAGACGAGGCAATACTGGTGAGAATTTCATAAGCTTCAATTTTGGATTGGTTAATAAATAAAAAAAAATCATGAAAAATATGAAGATTGATTTGTATACTTGTTTGCTTTAGGTTCAGGAAAGCCTGAAGAACAACAGCCCATGATCACACAGGCCGGAGTTTCTCATCATCAACCGGGTAATATTAATTCTGTTCAATTAATTTGTTTAATTAATTAATAAGATTTATTTTCATATTATAAAACAATAAAACATGCAGACTATCTGTAATGTTGGGAAAAAAAGTGCCTAAACATGACTTAATTTGATAATTTAATTAAGTCTTAATTTAATTAAATCATGTCTTAAGACTTTTTGCATCATAATGGAGATGACTATTTATGCCCCAAAGGGAGTGAAATATAATATAAATCCATCCTTTTATCTCGTAGGGCTATGAAACCTTAAATTTAGACATTTAAAGTTTGATTCTCTTCAACACTGTAATAGTGCATTTATAAAAGTTTATATCAGAAAGGTTTATCTTGAGGAGATACTGACATTATTTCATGATTTAAAGATCTGATTTGATATTATAAATCTTTGTCAAAGATGATTTAAAATTTTTAATTTTACTTGTTGTAGAGTACATTTTATTTTAATGCTTACAAACATTTCTCTACATTTATTAGTGACGGAAGATATGCGCGTAGTCAAAAATGCTTTAGGAACACTATCACGTGAAAAGTGTGTTGTCATTTTGGGAAAATTTGGAAGTTCTGTTTCCAGCACATCATTACGTATACTGACGGCGTATGTGAAAGAAAATAAGGACTGGAAAATCATCCAGTGTAGATATACAGAAATACCAAAAGTAATCGACGAGAACACCGTGATGTTTGTGTATGGCTGGTTTGGTATTTGGAATGAAGACCCTTGTTCCATGAAAAATGTAACAAATGCATGCAAGTCTCTTGTGGACATTTTACATGAAGTCGCGCATGTCAAAATTGTAATTGGAATGAGGTCCGATTTGTCAAAGAAATATCATCAAATGTTAGAAAAAGAAGCAAAGTATCTCTTTGATAAAGAAATAAGTCTTGATACCGAAAATGAAGCTAGGTATGAAGAGTATAAGACATATTTTAAAGAAAACATTAAGGACCCGTGTGAGAAAAAAATTTGCGAATGCCAAGATCTGGAATTTGATATGTTAAGAAGAGGAAGTCATATTGGCATTCCATTAAAAATGAATGTACTGGCAAAGTTTCATGATGATGTCATTCCTGCATATCTAATTCATCGTGATCTCTTGAAATCGTTTGTAGAGCACTTGACAGCTTTAAACAATGAAAAAACCAAGCTAATTTATCAATGGATAATGTACATATGTTTGAAAGGCAAATTTGATCGGTCAAATGGTTTTGATGCTGAATTGTGCGAAAACATGGGGTTTGTAATTCAAGGTTCGTCATTTGATGGAATGTACAAAAATGAGTTAGGAAGATACCTAAAACCGAGGAATTCTGATCAACAAAATGATGTTCCCCCTGAATCAACACAGTACGTCTTCTGGCATCCCTTTATCTACATTTGCGCCTTCCATTCACTTTACGAGAAGGACCCGGAAGCTGTCTTGAGGCATTGTAATATTGATGCCATTATTCAGCTAGTACGTCCAAAGGATAATAAATCATTCTTCGAAGTTAGTATTGATAAAGAAAAAATTCCTATATTCCTGGACAGAATGCATCAGTTAGATATGTCAAATGATTACATGCTACATCCCTTGGTTACAGCGCTAGCGAGAGATGAATTAGAAAATATGTGTCGTCCGAGCTGAAGCACGTATGTTTTTGGCAAGAAGTGTTTTAGGACATTATATGAGAAGAATGACCAAAGACAGTTGTGTGTTTAATTCCTATTTCATAAAGTTAGAAACAGATTTGAATATTTGTAACAGGTTTTTGGTTAAGGGGGATGTACAAGCCATATTGGATCTAGTCTGGTGTAAAATAAGAAATGTCAAGAATGCGCTTTATACTCTACTAAACTAGCCCAAAGTTACCCAAAGTGCTAATGCACTAATTACCTACTGTTAGAGACCAAAATTAGTAAACAATTAAGTTTATTTTGTTTTAATTGGGAGGAAATTATTCATGTTAGAACTGCGCAGCTACAGCATTCACGAGATGATTAATGCATTAAAAATGGTGTTAGTTTAATTCATTGATAATATGGCTACAACCATTTGTTTCGCTTTTTTCTTGTCATAATACATAATTCTTGAAAATTTGATTTTTCGTATGGATGTCTTCCTGAGGCCATGTGTTTATTTCGTCCGCCATTCCTCTGTCACACAGAGTTCGAATAACATTGATTTTAGAATAAATGCGACCATAATAACATCAAGACAAGAAATTATTAAGTAATAATCATTAGGTTATATTACGTACTACTTTTATTTGTTGCATCGCATCGTCTGACTATTGAAAAAACGCGATTTTAACCCCACTCCAGCAAATCGGGAAAAATTGTTCTATTTACAGCTCGAGTTTCCTCGTTAATAATATTCCACTGAGCACGTGGTTGGCATGTGCATATATCTGCTATGGATAGATCCGTTTATTACCATGATTATATTTAATTTGTCATCAAACAAGTCTTGATAATTTGTTGGTTTCTTTAAAACTCAAGAAAAAAAAATAAAAATGTCCTAAACATATGTGTTTAAGGTGGGTCTTTTTTTCTGTGGCGATAGAAGTTATTTTCAAATGGGGCACTGCAAGGAGGATGCTTAGCATTTAATTTGAAAATGTTAAACAATATGAGGTGCATGAAAAACAAATTGTAATTCCATGTCTTACATTCGAAAAGTTGGTACATATGTCTATTTTGTTTAGAAGTTAGATAGAAAAAATAGGCAGTTATAGGATTTCCTTCAGGCACCTCACATAAATAGCTAGATTGTATGCAATGACCCACACATTGTATGGAGTTATGTTTGGACATAAAAACGCATCATGTCTCCTTATGTTGTCAACGTTGTAAGCTTTCGCTCATTGAACATACGAAGCTTGATAATATATTATGTTGTTTCTTTGAAATTTAGAAGCGAGCACAATATGTGCAAAGAAAGGTCCATTGCATATGCTATGTCTATCATCGCAAAAAAAAAAATTGAGAGGCTAACCCCCCCCCCCCCCCGAAAATCCTATGTTTGTCTTTAAAATAGTGCCAAAGATTCAAATATTTTGCATTACTAAGTATGTGATGGAACATGTACTAGCCTTACAAGACCACTTGTTATAAAAATATTTGGTTGCCCTAATCTCCCGATCTACTGCCTAGAAATGGCCCGACTCTTTTTTTTTTTTACATCCAATTACACGATATTTTTTTCTTCCGTCAACAATTATGTTAAAATTTTAAGGATTTTTTTTCTCCCCTTAAATACGGACCCTATAATTTTTACCTGAGTTGGGAGGACCACCAAACGTCATTTTAATGATGGTATAAAATATTTAATTATGTTGAGTTTTTTTTTTCTTTACTTTGTAAAATTGTAATTTTGACAATATGGGCAAATAGAAAAAAAAGTTTTTTTTATTCATTAAGTCTCCTAACCCACTCTGAATGATTTCATTCCTTTTCAAATGTTGCTCCACTGTAATGAAAATTGTAAATGCATGTTTATTTGACACAGTATACGAGGGGTGATCAAAAAGTAAACAATATCTTAGGTATTTGATAGTTATATTATTGTTGAAATATTCAAGTACTTTTCAAAGTGTAAATTGGAGGTCCTTGATAGCATATTGCTTAATTAAAACCACATCCCTTTTCAAACTTGCTTTCACCGGGCAATATAACAAGTATCATATTTAACCATCTGCCTTCCTTCACTAAACGATCTATCCAATCATTGATTGAAATTATAAAAAGTCATTTGTCTTAATAAACTGTAAACAATTTCTTATACGCTACTTCAAAGGCATTTCTAAGATATACAATAAATATCATAGTCGTTTGTTGAACGAGTTCCACTGCGACAACCATTTTTCGTCACAAGTACCTGCATAATGACGTCATTTTCAGATTGTGACGTCACAAACAAGGAGCAAAACTTCAGCATTTGCTATTTATAGAACTTGCGTTTGGCTATGTTTCTAATCTGAATTGTGGTTTTGTAGATATAGAGATAGTTCGCGAACTTTTTGATCACCCATCGTACTAGAAGGTACTAAAACAAGGTCATTCATATCGATTTTATGTGTCTAAATTTCTTTGTGTTTCATTGGTGATAATTAAAATTTTGATAGATAATATAAGTTATCTGTGGCAAACTTACAAACTTTTAATTTTTAACTTTGATGGTGCTCATTTTTCCTTACCTGGAATCAAAAAGTTTACGATTTTTTTTTATATCAATACGTACACTATTTAACAACTGTTCGATAATAATACTAAATAAAACACTTCAAGCCACACTATAACACCTTTCCTCTTTTAAAAGTGTTCATATTATTTGAAATATTTTGCAACTGTAATTCTCTTCTACATTTAAAGATTGTTATGCCCCTCCATATTAAGAAGAGATCTGGAAAACAAAATTCTGTGCTAAAAATAGACCACGTGCTGCTATCCATGAACTACTTTCATGGTTCTTTACACTCTTTTTGAAGACAACGGTACCTTGTTTTGAACTTGAAATTATCATTTAAAAGTGTAATATTTAGACATTTTCTCAACAAATGGTTGTAGAGAGAACATTAATGCACAGTTTGCATATTTTTTTGGATTTTTTAAGGCTCTGCTGAATTCTGTAGCTGCGCAGTTCTAATGAGCATATCAAAAGCATTTTTCTGCAAAAGTATAGATTATATATACACAACATGCATTCAGTTATGCATATTTGTTGTATCTTTATCATAAGGAGTTAAAATTTGATCAAAATATAATGTATTTTAGGCATTTGAAGAAATGTTTACATTTTGTTCTCACTGCACTAAAGGTGGCCGTACATCCCCCTTAAGTATAGAACAACACATCTTGTTGAGGGTTCTATAAACAAGACTATATTTAAGGAATCACTGTCTAGTTTGGAGAGTATGCCAGGGCATCAACAATAGTGGGAAACATGGGATAATTTGCATAACGGGCGAAGCCCGTTATGCTAAAATTATCCCATGTTTCCCACTATTGTTGATGTCCCTGGCATACTCTCCAAACTAGACAGTGATTCCTTATATTTCCATTTCATTGTAAAATGAAATTGCAGATTTAGACATTAAAAATGTAGACTAATAGATTTAAATTACACGAGGAGTTCCATGCCAATTTCAATAGTCCTGCACACTGACGTCAAACCCAAAAGCAGCCGCACGAGATTTACATGCATATTTGGCCTCCTTAGAGTCAGACACAGAGACAGATGCGCACGAGATTTGCATGCGTACTAAGTCTCCTTAGGTGCTGACCTATCGACCTGCCTTATTTACATTCAAGCAGGATTATCAAGAAATAAACTCCTCCAACTTTCAAACAGATATCACAGAGAAAAAAATTAGAAATGGAAATATTGCCAGATAAAAACTCAAATGAGGAAACACTGCAATATTGACAATATAAACAAGTGTAATTGTGTAAATATAACCATAAACAAGATGTATTTGTGAAACACTGATGCCCCCGTATGACAACATAGCGAAGGTTAAATTTTCTCAAATGTACAAGTTAATCAAACATATTGATAATCAATTAAAGTAAGGCCTTCTCACAAGAAATACAAATGTGACATATAAAACCCTATTACCATGTTCAAAAGTTGTGGCCAAGGTTAACTTTTTTAAGGGTAGGTCAAACTCCGGGGTCAAAGGGTCAGGCTTAATTAAGGTTGTTTATTTCTGAAGAAAGGCCTTGTCACAAGGAATACATCTATGTGAAGTAGGAAAGACCTAACCTTTACCGTTCAAAAAGTATGGCCAAGGATAAAGTTATTTTTAAAGTAGGCCAAAGTCAAGATCAAAAAGGTCAAAGATGTAGGAATTCAATGAAAGCTCTTGTCACAAGAATTACATATGTAAAGTATGAAAGCCCTGGCCCTTACCGTTCAAATGTGAAGGCCAATTTAAAGTAAAAGTATTGAATTTAGGTGTAAAAGTGTGTCGAATTCCAAAGTCAAAGGGTCAAAGAAAGGTCTTGTCAGAAGAAATCCACCTGTGAAACATGAAATCCAAAGTCCCACCCAGTCAAAAGTTATGGGCAAGATTTAAGTTTTTGCGAAGAAACAGACAGATAGACGGACAGGGCAAAAACTAAGAGGGGTGATCAAAAAGTACTCGAACTATCTTATATATATACTTAGTATTTACAGAACCAAAATTCAGATCAGAATGAAATTTGGCACACAGAGAATCATACACGTGTTTCATAAATAGCATATGTAATGAAATGATTTGTCCCATATTTGTAACGTCACAATTTGAAAATGACGTCAATATGTAGATCAATTGTGAAAATAAATGATTGACTCAGTCGTATTCGAGCAACGTACGGCTGTAAAGATTAGCGTGTATCTTGGATATTCCTTTACAGAAGCATATAATAATTTGTACACGGTTTATAAAGACAATCGACTTGCAAGAAGTTTTATCATTAATTTGATTGATTGTTTAAGTGAAGGAAGGGAGATGTTTTAAAATGATGTTTGCTCTATTATACACTGTACAGTGAAAGCAAGCTGGGGAAAAGATGTGTCTTTTGTTAACCAATTCGATATGAAATATCGCCAACTTACAGTTACAAAAATAGTTGAATATCTTAACAATAATATGATTATTA